GTTTTCTTCTTCTCTAGTCGCTGCAGGCTCCAATATATATACTCTGACTGTCCCAGTGATTTATACTAGCTTTGAGCTTGTTGGGAGAACACTTGAGGCTGGAAGCTGAAGCTCGGGCTTGCGCCCCAACAAGCCCCAATGGTGAATCCGCCCCTGGTGGGAGCAGTGGCTGGCTAGGGTTTCGGTGGGGAGGGGATTGGCCGATCGGGGATGTTATATTTTTCAAAAGAGCCTCCTTTTGTTTTTCAGAGTGCGGACCTATTTTCATGTTTTTCTTTTCTTTGCATAAAGTTTTCCTGGTTATAGAGGGTCTAAACGTTAAAAATTAAAACGTAAGACCGTATGTATTTAACCTAACAAAAGTTACAAAGAAGTGAAGGGTTTTTTTTTTTTTTTTTTTTGCAAAACTTCCACCCTCATCATCCTGCCCGTCCACTCAAGCTAATCGGACGGCGCGTGCGGACGCGAAATCCGCCCGCCTCCCAGCGCGCTGGAGTGACGTGGATAGCACCGCGTGCGAACACGTCGGTCCAAAACACTTTCAGCGCGGCAACTCCAGGGTGGTTTTAATGCATTCATATGCACTAGCGGAGGTAGAGTATGGGAGGGGAGTGCCCAGGAACCCGATCAAAATAAAATTGAGCTATATCTCATACATTTTCACCATGTGTGCACTCTCTAATACAAACTTAGATACCCGCATCAGTTTAAACTTGATCTAAAGTGTAGAATAAATTAAGTAAGTGGCACCCTCTATTTCTTTCTACCTCGCCCAGTGCATGTGTTTTTTTTCTGAATGACTAAATATTTAATTGAATGAGGTGATACAAGTAATCAAGGGTATAAATGAATTAATTAATTATTATAAAGTTCAAAAAAAATAAAAGAATAGTCTATTAAATTTATATATAAGAAAATGCCCGTGCGTTGCAACGATAAATGTTATTTTAATTTTATTATTTTTATACGGTTTAGCTAGGGTAAAATTCACTGTGCTTGAATATTTCTTTTAGAAAATCATAAACTGCAATTAGGAGTCCGTATTTCATCTCAAGCTAGAATGATTTTTTTAAAGAGATTTCTTATACGACTTCTTTTGTATTTTCAAAGGCAAACGAGTTTTAAATCCAACTCAAACATGGATATGCATTTTCAAAAGCGAACGAACTTAAAAACTGACTAAAACACGGATGATGTACCGAAATACCGGCAAAAAAATCTTTAATTTTTATAATAGTAGAAATATAAAATAACGTAAACATTTATCCATTCATCCTTTAAGAGAAACAATACTCCGTACAGACTAGCAACACCGTGAAACATCCCCATCCTTTAAGAGAAACAATACTCCGTACGGACTAGCAACACCGTGAAACATCCCATTTAAATCTAGAGTTAATTCGATTCATACCATTGTAAATGTGGCTATTAAAAAAAAGCCATTATAATTCGTCTATTCGTAAACGTGTCACTTAAATTTTACAAAATTAGAACCATACCATCGCCGTCACATTTTTCATCTTCCTCCCCATCTATACGTGGGCCCACCGGTCAGATTCATTTTCCTCCATCCTCCCCTATTCTCTTTTTTCCTTCTTTCTTGCTAGGTAGAGCAGAGGGAAGAGAGGAGCGGGGCGCCAGTGCTCCGGTGGCTAGGAGGTGGCGAGGTCGGTGGCCAAATGTGTTCTCGTGCCGTCGCCCCCGTCGGATGCTGCCGCAGGGTTCCGCTGCTGTCGCCGCTCCCGCTCCGCGCGCGCGGCTGCTGCTGCTACTCCGCTGTTGCTGGCACTGCTGCTCCGCTGCCGCTACTCCTCTATGCTGCTGTAGTTGCTACTGCCGCTACTGCACTGCTGTGCTGCTGCAGCAGCTGCGCGGCCAACGTGGGCCGCGCGCTCTGGCGCGGTGCCGGCACCGGTGGTGGCGGGGAGAGGATGGATTGGTGGGGAGGAGGTGAAGAAGTACTGGAGAGAGATGGGAAAAAAGAGGAGGGAAGAATGGAGGAAGAAGATGAATATGACTGGTGGGCCTCATGTTGATGGTCGTTATAGATAAATTTTGACCATCAATATAACTAAAATAAAGGGGAGCTAGCTATACTTGCAATGCATATTTATTTTAGAATAATTATTTGTTTGCAGTGATTAAGCAAATAAAATGGAGGAGAACTCATCCTTAAGCAAGCTTAAGGATAAGATGGGGCCACATGTCAGGTGTAACTGTCCTCGAAACCGTCATAACTGCCACAACCATCATAGGGACCCACTTGTCAGTGCCCTAGAGTAGTTTGGAGGCCTGTTGGGCCGGCCCAAGTATGGCCGAACCCTGGTGACGCTAGCTTCGACTGGCCTTACACATGGACGCTCCTGATCGCTCCCCAATGACGGATTGACGGTTTCAGGGCATATTGGACATTTCGCATAGGCTACAACCATCATACCTGCCTATTTAAGGAGGAGCTCATTCACACTTCAAAACACACTTAAGAAAGCTCAACATTTCTATCTATACTTTAGTTTAGTATTCTAGTGCTAAGTGGAGTAGAGTGGAATAGCTCTTGAAGTCCTCGGAGTCTTTAGGGGGGAATTCGAGTATGGCGGTAGTAGCTTTTCTTTATTCTTTTGTAAGACTTTTGGAATTAATGGAATATTATTCTATATATATTTATATATTCTTGGTGCTTTAGTTTATGTAAGTATCGACTTTACTTTATATCTGTATCGGTATAGTTGTGTAGCTAGCCTACCAGAGAGGTGCAATGGTGTGGGTTTAATGTTCCATTATTCGGTTGCTCTATGTCATCCTAGGGGATATAGAGTAGTATTTAATAATGTAGACGTGGTGTTTAGATTATTAAGTATCATTATCTAGGCATATATGCTGCGGGACAGTAGAGGTGGGCCGCTGATGGTGAAAGTTTAGTACGGGTATTCCTCCATGTTAGTATATATTCCTAAGATAAATTCCTGGGGAGGGTACTCCTCCGTATTTAGTCCCGGTTGGACAGCCATGATAAGTTGTCGTAAGGAACTCGGCAACCCAGGATGGTCTCTCAAAACACCAGGAGGGCATTGTTAGAGGGTATTGGCCATACAACTGTATACTAGCGGATATAAACTAATTGATGGAACGTATACTAGAAGCATAGGAATTAATTGCTTTTTTATTTCTTCTTCCACATAGCGTAGGATTGATTAATGAGAGATATGAGTTCTTTGCTTTGTGCCACTCTACCCTTATGATTATATTAACCCCTGTTTAGACTCTGATCATACAAGTGGCATATATACATTATTAGCATAGTTCTTTTTTACAATCTTCCCTTGGGATTAAATAAATAAGGCTAAATTGTTTCAGGACATTGAAAATTTGTGTAATTGGCTGTGGGACACCACAAAATTGTGTCACTGCTAAAGGACATAAAAAATAGTGTAATTGTCTGTAGGACACCAAACACATTATTTAATAATTTCCATGACAAAGTGGAGAGAGAATTTTAAAATGACAAGCTCTTTCTCCCCTAGCTAAGAGGAGGTGGCGGCGGCGAGTAGCTGTGCAAGCAGGCAGCGGCCCGCTGCTATGGGCGGCCCGCTTTGGGGACGTCGGCCACCTGAGCAATGCTAGCCTGGCGCTGGGCCTGTCCCTTGGCAGCGGCCAAGGAGGAGGAACGACCAACGCGACGGCACACCATGGTGGCTACCGGTGGCCGTATTGCTGTCGCTGCAGCCATCGTTGCACGCTCGACAAAACGAGGGACGCAGCTGCGACGGCGACCGTGGCCCTACGCATAGCGTGTACACATTGTTGTCCGTGGGCGTGGTGCTAAAGAGGGAGTGTGTGGAGGAGATCTACGGTGAGCGGATGTTGCTGGAGTTGTTGTCGTCGGCGGGTGGTCGGACGAGCAAGACAACAACAACTACGTAGGGCAACATCCGCAAGAAGCTCCGGTATTGATTTGTATTTGTTCATCCGCAAAGCACGGTCTTCCTGGTACATCACATATGTCGACACGTTCTTGTTAGACTCTATTGATTTGTATTTGTTCATCTTTTGTTGATCGAATACATGCGAGTCACTAAACCAAAGCTTTGTTTCTTTGAGCAGAAGCAGAAAGTCCCAACTTAAGCTCAGGCCAAGCCAGGAGCAAACTTGTCTTTTTTAAATTTCTCTCTCCGCTTTTTCTTAAAAATTATAAAATAATGTATCTAGTGTTCTACAGACAATTACATCATTTTTATGGTGTCTTTTGGCAATGGCACGATCTTACGGTGTCCCTCAGCCAATTATACAAAATTTGGATATCACGTAGCAAATTTTGCCTAATAAATACGATACCTTGGAATACTCCCGGATAAAATACTACAATGATATATCTGTGCGCTTGCGGATTCCTTCTGTAACTGTATATATAGCAGGACCATTTCTAGCGCTATTGCTGGAAATTCATATTTATAGTAATGTCGTTAAGAAATATCAGCACCCCACATGTAAACGGGAAGAAGATAGAAAATATGACGGTGATGGCATGGTTCCAATTTCGTAAAATTTAAGTTGCACGCTTAGAAATTGAAGAATTGTAATGACTTTTTTTTTAATAACCACATTTGCAATGGCATGGATCGAACTAATGAATATGCACATAACGACAGATGTTGTAGCACTAGCACTGTTCGGAAGAATTAGTGCCAGTAATTTCTTCAAAACTACTTCTTCCGGGTTGATAATACTTATCGTTTTGGACTAGAGACGGTCTTGAAAACTAACATTGACCATTATTTTTTATTATAATATATATAAAAGTGTTAACAGCTATATAATTTTATTAAAATATTTTTTAAGACTAATCTATACATGTAGTTATCATATTTGAAAGATAAATATTTTAAAAATGATTTATAATAAAAATTCTAAAGTTTGATCTCACCTTGTTTAAAACGACAAGTATTATCGGTGCGGATGGAGTATTTTGGAGAAGACTTCAATTGTGAAAACTCTACCCTCGTACTGACAAATTAATGGCACTACTCCAGTGCACTAGGAACAGTACACATGTGCGTGCATGCTCTGTTCTTATTTCGAGTTTGTCCTGCAGAAAACCTCGCACCCGACTATCCAAGCACAGAGGCCCCCGACACGAGTACACGACACGCCGTCATGCGCCACGCCGCCGCCGCCGCCGTGCCGCTGGCGACCACCGTCGCCATGCTGTACGCCCGCCTCGCCGCCTCCCTGACCGGCCCTGGCCCCCGCCGCCTCGCCGCGCTCCTCCCGGCGATGGCACTCCTCCCCGTCCTCCCTCTCGCCCTCCCGTACTACAGCTACCGCGGCTTCTCCGCCTTCGTCTTCGTCTGGCTCGGCGAGTTCAAGCTCCTCCTCCTCGCCTTCGGCCACGGCCCGCTCCACCCGGCGCTCCGCCCTCTCCCGTTCGTCTTCACTGCCGCGCTCCCCGTCAAGCTCGTCGACGCCGCCGCGGCAGCAGCAGGCGCGTCGGCGTCGAGGCCACCGCCAGCTGCACCTGCAGCTACGTTCAAGTTCGTCGTCTCGTCCGCCATCAAGGTCGGCGCCATGGCGGCCATCGTCCGCGTCCTCCACGCCAAGGAGGAGATGCACCGCTACGCGGCGTTCTCCCTCAACGCCGTCTTCATGTACTGCTTCCTCGACGTCGTCCTGCCGGCCCTCGGCGCGGCGGGCGTGGCGCTGGGCATGGAGATGGAGCCGCAGTTCGACCGGCCGTACCTGTCGGCCTCGCTGCGGGACTTCTGGGGCCGGCGGTGGAACCTCGTGGCGTCGGCGGTGCTCCGCGCCGCCGTCTACGACCCCGTCAGGGCGCGCTCCGGCGACCCGGCGGCCGGCGTGCTCGCCGCGTTCCTCGTGTCGGGGCTGATGCACGAGGTGGTGATACTCTACCTGACCTCCCGGGCTCCCACGGGGCGCGTCACGGCGTTCTTCGCGCTCCACGGCGTGTGCGTCTGCGCCGAGCGGTGGTGGTGCGCGCGCCAGCACAAGCGCGAGGCGAGGCCGCAGCTGCCTCGCGCGGTGGCCGCGCCGCTCGTACTGGGTTTCGTCGCCGGCACGGCGTTCTGGCTGTTCTTCCCGGCGATCTACGGCGGCGGGATGGACGACCTGTACCTCGCGGAGATTGCAGGGTTTGCAAAAGGCCTCGGCCTTGGCGGAAGCTGGACAGGGGAAAACTAATTCTAATATGTCCCATCGTGTACATTTTTTTCTTCAAATTCAATGCAACTAATTGTAAAATGGGACGCGGATACTATATGCAAGTATGCATTAGTAGTATATACATCGGTTTCAAAATATAGTAATTTCTAGCTATCTATCTGAATAAATTAGTCAGAAGTTGTTATATTTTAGAATAGAGTTTCAAGCAACACATACCAATGAGAAGTCCATAGAATTTTAGAGGGCAACTAACTAAAGATACTCCCTCCGTCCCCTAATATAAAGGATTTTGATATTTTATTTTGCATTGTTTAACCATTCGTCTTATTAAAAAAATTTAGAATTATTATTTATTTTAATTGTGACTTACTTTATTATTCAAAGTACTTTCAGCACAACTTTTCTTTTTTTATATTTACACAATTTTTTAAAATAAGACGAGTAGTTAAATAGTGCAAACAGAATGTCAAAATCCCTTATATTAGGGGACGGAGGGAGTAAAATTTACCGCTAATGTTCTACCCAATCTACTGGTATAATAATTCCATAATAATAAAAAGATAGCTCGAAGAGGAGTTGTTAACTTCTGTAGAAGAATGTCTGCATTATAGATCCAAGATCACACAAGACAGATGTTTGGAGTTCAATGTTAACCTTAACAGAGACGAATGTGAGGTGAAGTACACATGTGACATGCCATCATTTTGAAGTTCAACGAATCCTGTGTTGGCCTCAACTTCTTGAGGATCAAACAAGTTCCATCCAACTGTATTGCAGAGGCGGAGAAAAGACTTGAAACAGAAAGATTTTTTTTTTCCAATGTTCATATCATGATATGGTTAATACATCGCTGGCAAGACGTTCTAATGAGCTTATGCTATACTCCCTCCGTCCTAAAATACAAGGGATTTTCGATGTGTCATATCCACCCAAAATTCCTTATATTTAGGACGGAGGGAGTACGACCTTTTCTTCCCAGCTCTATGCTCAAATGTACATTTGGATTGGATGAATCTTGAGCTTGTGGACCGTGGGTAGTTCTTCCATGAAGTGGCTAGGATGCAGCAGAGTCAGATTGACTTCTGGTGATAAAATAGCAGTGGAGATGTAAAAAAAGAAAAGAAAGCAAAACATCCATCAGATTCAGAAATCTAATCTTTTGGAACATCTAGATTATCGGATGTCAAACCAAAGCAACTTTTCTACTAGCTCAAAGAACTCTTCAAGCGGTACAGAAAATGAGAGGAAAGAATCAAGGTAAACGATTCACAAGCAAAACTGTACCACAGAAAGGACAATTAACTTAATGAAGTGAGCGATGGCCGATGGACAAGGGCGCTCTGACGAATCAGATCTTGAGGAGTTCGCAACTGTTCAGACATCAGCATCAATTTGACGAGTTGATGAACTGATGGCACTCGCTGGAGCAGCATCCTTGGTAGACTATTCCTGGGAGCAGAGCAGCCCGCCAGCTCATCCTGTGGCCTGTAATATGCATAGCCGAGAATTGTGACAGGGGAAAACATTTGGAAAATTTTTTAAAGGAAAAATGGAGGAAGTTCACAGGATTTGAACCCAATAGGAAATTCTATCAGATTAGCAGTAGCACCATGAATTCCATTTGATAGACAGTGTTGCATCAACTGCTACAAGAAGACATCCAGATACATCCTATACGGATCTATCATAAATATCTGTGAACAATCAAGCATTACAATTCAAAGAACGCAGCCGACTCAATGAGTGGCACACCATGAGATCAGTATGATTTCTATCTTCAAAACATTGTGCCACCTAGCTCTGCCTCTGGATATGCAGCGAGAGTTTCTTAACTTTGCAGCTCATCTTTCTTAGCTCATTGTTTCCGTTTGCTTGCTATCTTTGTGGCTTCTCTTCCGCTTCCTAACTCTCTTTCGCTTTGCCTCCCCATCAGCTTTGGGCCCCTGTAGGACACATGTTCTCATCAGTCCTCGTGTTGCATCGACAGCAAACAGCTCTTCTAGACATGCTTTTCCAACAACATAATAGATACTAATAATGGGCATGTTAATCTGAAAGTAACAGTTTTAGGTATTATTACGTACAACTACTGAGAGAAAAACAACAGTGATATAAAATGAAAATTACCTGATTTTGAGCAGCTGACAATTGGGGCTTTGGTTTCTTTTTCTTACAGGAGAGTGGGTTTGGTCCCTGCAGAAATGACAAGCAATAAAAATTACTTACGGAAGCGGAACTGTTGTAGCAAACTTTCTTTCCACACTATTATGGATAGTTAAATAATGGGAAAAATTGGATTCAATTGTCAAGCGGTCCTATCGAAAATAGGATTGACTATGGAGTAAGGCTGATGATGCCAACTAGATCATACGTATTGTTGCGCTTGCGTATACATCTAATACATCAGAAGCCAGAAGAAAATAACAGAAAATATTAACCTTTGGTCTTTTCTTCTTAAATTTGCTTTTGTCGGCCACCCCAAGTGCATTTTCTACAAGAGAACTGATAGGCCTTCTGTTCTTTTCATCATCACTTGCGTTTTCACTGGCAGCCGCCTTTCCATCCGATGGAACCTTCAGTAGCTTCTGATATTCTGATTTACCCATATGCAGACGCTTCTCCTCGTCCAACTGAGCAAATTTACGTTGCTGCACAGAGGGTTGTTCAATGAACAAGGAGCTCTTCAGACCATATATCACAGGAACACCAGGAACCTGCATCCAGTCAAAACACACATGAACACATAAACTGATTCAAGAGAATATGTAATGGCAACATGTACATTATTGTGCACCCTCCGTTCCATAGTGTAAGGCGTTTTGGGTTTGTCCTAAGTCAAACTTCTTTATGTTTGATCAACTTTATAGAAAAAAGTTGCAGTACTTCCAACATAAAACAGATATACTACAAAAAATATATATTCAAATGTGGATTTAATGAAACTAATTTGGTATTGAAGACATTGCTATGTATTTTTTAAAAACTTGGTCAAACGTGATGAAGTTTGGCCCTGTTTAGTTCCCAAAACAAAAAATTTTCACCTATCACATCGAATGTTTGGACACATGCATGGAGTATTAAATGTGGGAAAAAAAACCAATTACACAGTTTGCGTGTAAATTGCGAGACGAATCTTTTAAGCCTAATTGCGCCATGATTTGACAATGTGGTGCTACAGTAAACATTTGCTAATGACAGATTAATTAGGCTTAATAAATTCGTCTCGCAGTTTCCTGGCAGAATCTGTAATTTGTTTTGTCATTAGACAATGTTTAATACTTCAAATGTGTGTCCGTATATCCGATGTGACACCCCAAAACAAAAATTTTTGCCAACTAAACCGGGCCACTGACTGTCCCTGTCAGGGGCGGGCGCAGCTATGATTCAAGGGTATTCAGATGTATGCCCAAGAATTTTACACAAAAAATAGGTATATATACTATATATTTCGTATATGAATTCAAACAAATAAAAAAGAGCCTCAAATACCCAATAAGCAAGCAAACTAGTTTTCTTGGGCTTGCTTCATCCTCCCTCCTCATTCACCCATTAGCCCAAATGTATTGGGCCCAAATTCCCCACTTCCCTCCCTCTCTCCAGCTCTCCTCTCCCCTACCCACTTCCAGCCTCACCCATCAATCTCACACATCCCATTCCCTCAGTCTCCCCTAACCCTAGCCGACGGGCGGTCGGCGCAGGCGCACAGCCTCGCGGACGTTGGGTGGCCGGTGGCTGGACGGCGGTGGCGCGGGCGCGCAAGTGGCCAAACACGCAGCGGCGATGCTCGGGCGCAAGCGTAGGCATGGCGTGGCGGCAAGACGGCGACGGCAGCGCGGGGCAACCGAACAGGCTCGTGGTGTCGGTGCCGCATTGGCGAGCTGACGACGTAGGCACCAGGCAGGCAGCATCGCAGCTCGCATGGACCAAGAGGCAGGGACGCTGGGATTTGGGAGCCTGGGATGTTAGTACTTCACTGATTTCATTTTTTGTTCTGCACTTCTACTTTTCTAGTATTCTACTAATTGTTCACTGAGTACTTGGAAGTTGATTCATCATAATTGCTAACTTGCAGACTTGATTTAAGTAACTAGTTAGGCGCATGTAGGGGAATAGTAAGTAGGATTTGTAAGATTACATATCATTTTACCATTTTCAAAATATCAAGAATTGAAAAGTTCATCTCTAAATTGAAAGATTTCTTATCATTTTACCATTTTCTATTCTTTTGTGTGTACTTCATCCAATTAGTACTTACATATGTGCTATATATTATAAAATTATATCAATATACGAACTTATGTGTATTTTGTGTTATATATGCTATATATTATATAATTACTGGTGTGTTATATTATATACATCATTTATTAGGCTCTTGGGTGTAGGAAATTTTTTTACCCTACTCCTATTTCGAATACACAAGTTCTAAATCCTGGGCCCGCCACTGACTCCCTGTCCAGATGCTTTTGCATAACATAATTAAGGTGATAATTCTTAAATTACTCTGAAACAGCGTGTTGGCACGAGCACGAAAGGGTAGTGAATTTCCATACCTCCCGTAGCTTTGCACGGAGATCAGAATCCTGGGTGGCAACAAAGAAGTGTTCGGGATTCTTTTCACCTATCAGTGACAGAACACAATCCACTGCACTGACTACTTTGTCATGCTCACACCTGAACCCACAAACAAAAATTTCCAATGGAACAAAACCCTCATTGCCTCATAAGAGAAAAAAAAAAACCATCGTTAGAAGTAGAAGTGTGCTACTACTTACTTGGCCGTGGCGAGCAGGGCGGCGGCGTCGAAGGCGTCGGCGTGGGACTTGCCGAGGCGCCTGAGCTCGGCGAGGACGCACTTGGAGGTGAAGAGGGGAGGGGGCCTGGAGGCGGAGAGGAGGGACTGGAGGGCGTCGTCGGCGGGGAGGAGGCTGTGACTGAGGAGGTGGTGGACGAAGGTGCCGTCGACGAGCACCCTGTAGGGCTCGCGGAAGCCGAAGCAGGTGGCGTAGAACCTGACCACCTTGCGGTTCTTGGACCGCCTCTTCACCCTCATCCTTCTCGCGTCTCCCTCGCGGGCGGCGGCGGCGGCGGCGGCGAAGGGCGGCGCTAGTGGCACGAGGCAGGGAAGGAGGGGAGGGGGCTCGGTCGCCTCGCCGGCGCGGGAGGGGCGGACAACGACGTCGCGGTTCAAGATAAAGGTGGCAGGCGCAGCGCGACGTCGGCGTGGAGGTCGAAGAGTCGAACGGCGCCGGCGGTCTGTGACGGTGGAGGTTGTGCTTGAAGGAGTTAGGGTTGATGGATTTGGGCTTTGATGGGCCTGGATTGAATTGGTTGGTTTCTTCGCGCTGGAAGGGGTTTTCCCTTGGAAAAGGTGCACTTAAGGCCCCTCATTCTGTGGACGAGCTACAAAATCATCCTTGAACCCAAAAAATACTCTATAACATATCCCTTATCTTATAAAACCGGATCACTTTGGGTCCTAAATTAGTACTGTTCCCGATTTTAGGTGACGTGGTGGCTGAGTCAATGTGAAACCCACCTATCATACTCACAAAAAATCATTGCCTTTTCTCCTCACTCTCTCCCTCACTCAACGGGTGTCCTTGGCGCCGGCCCAGTCGATGTTGCGGGAGATTAGGTGCCATGGCGAGGAGGAACACATGGCGCTTGTCGTAGCCATCGCCGTCCCCACGCACAACCAGCAACAGGTGTCGCCACGTCGGCTCCGACGCAAACATGATGAGCGAGTGGATGGCGCAGTAGGTAATCTCCTGAGAGGGCCGGGAGTGGTTGCCAATGAGGTGGCCGAGGAGCGCTGGCGGCGCGGTGAGGAAGCTGTACCAGGCTCCAGGCACAAATAGGGCGCTCTGTTGGGTAGTGATGTCACAGTAGGTGACATAGCAGTCGCAATCGTGCTTGTTGTTGGGGCACTAGACTTGGACGAGCGGGCCACAACCGTCGACGAGTGCCCTCCCTACCCCCACGGACCCTAACGACAACGTCAACAAGGCAGACAAGATGGTAGGCGAGGCTCAGGGTGGCAAGGTGAAGCGAGAGGACGGGTGTGCTTGGCGCCAGCCCCATTGGTGTCATGAGATACAAGGCGCCATCGAGAGGAGAAGGCCAGGGGCAGGCGGAGCCACGGAGGCGGCGAAGCCCGTCTTCGGAGAAGCTCTGTCGAGCTCCAGTGCAGAGTGGCACCCATCTTGAGGAGGAGCAGCGAGGGCCCCTCCTTGCCCCCACGAACCCAACAACGGCATCGGCAAGGCGAACAAGAAGGGAGCTTCTCCAATCAAGGTCCCCTCCAGCTACACCACCGGCGTCAACACCACCTTCTACGTAAGTACTCGTCGTCTTCGTATTCATTTCATAAGTCAATTTGTATTGCCGTCCATCACTACCCACTCGTCACCCAAGGTGGCCAGATCTTCCCCGACCGCTAGATGTGAGATGCCTCTGATTGGGCCACTGACGGCGAGCGCTTCAAGTCCGACTACTGCTACCATATGTTCGTCTCGTGCTATAGAGACCTCAAGATCGCTGGCTGTGAGGTTGACGCATCGGCGAGCTGTCACCTGGTGCCGGCATCGCTGTCGGGCGGCACCAGGCTGAGTGCGCAATAGAACGACACCATGAGCTAGACACAACATATACTAATGGAGCTCGACATAGCTTCTCAGAAGACGGGCTTCGCCGCCTCCACCCGCTGTTGGCGTTATCTTCTCCATGGCGCCTCGTCTCCCGCAACACCGACAGGGCCAGTGCCGAGCATGCCCGCTTGTGCGGACTCATGCTGTGGATGGTGGGTGGAGCGGGAGAGATTGGGGACTCATGAAGAGGATTTTTTTTTGTGAGTATGACATATGGGTACCATACTGATTCAGCCACCATGTCACCTAAAAATGGAAGCAATACTGTCTTAGAACTCAAAATGATCTGATTTTGTAAGGCAAGGAAGGCGTTATATCTTTCTTTTTTTTTTCTTTTAGGGATGATTTTGTAACTCGGCAGTAAACTGAGGAACCTGAGGTGAACTTTTTTCCTTCTCCCTTCGGGCATGATACTAGGCCGTGATGGGCTGGGAGCCTGGGACGTTTTTACTGCCAAAGTGGACCTATTGGGCCACTATCCTATGATAGTGGGATGAAAAATTGGACTGGATTTAGGCCGTGTTCTTTTCTAACAGAGATGCATGCTTTCTATTACCAAGCTTTTCTAATTGCTGAGCGATATGTTCCGTGCAAAAATTTTCTATATTGAAGTTACTCTAAAATATTAAATAAATTTAATTTTTAAGTTTATAATAATTAAAACTTAATTAATCATACACTAATAACTTTCTTATCATGTATGGCCTTATTTAATCTTTATCTTCATTAGTACGAATAGGTTTTTACAACTTTGTGACATGCCTTTACTACTATGTTATGGGTTCCTAGCGCTTGTACGTTTTTCATAGAAAAAATAGATATAATATTTTAGGGGTGACTATAAAAACTTATCAAAATTTCTAATGCCAAATCTCGATAACAGTAAATCAAACATCAACTACACCTGCGGGTAGGTCTTAAATATCAGCAATAGCTATTATAGACACGGTACTACAGAGAACGACATTATTCTCCCGCTATTAAGGATTTGGGGTTTAGATTTCATTGATTGGTTTGTTTACTTGAAACAAGGTGCATGAAAAATCATGCTATTACATTCTACAATGATATGGCTCCTCAACACATGTAAGCATAAAGTTGATCCAACCATTTAGAAAACATCCTCTTACATACAAGCGTTATCATAACTCTAACGTCCTCTTACATACAAGCGTTATCATAACTCTTCCATAAATAGTTAGTCCCATCACATCTAACAAATAAAACCATTTTTTAAGTACATAACAAAATATCACCAGCAAGTAACTTTAGAACTGGATTTTTCACATTTTGGTCCTTTTGAAAAACTTATTTCGCAAATAGACCTCTGAAAAAACTTATTCCAGAAATGGTCCTTTTTGGGACGCCAGAGTGGTTGGCGCCGTCCCTCTTTTGAAAAACTTATTTCACAAATAGACCTCTGAAAAAACTTATTCTAGAAATGGTCCTTTTTGGGACGCCAGAGTGGTTGGCGCCGTCCCCCTTTTGAAAAACTTATTTCACAAATAGACCTCTGAAAAAACTTATTCCACAAATGGTCCTTTTTGGGACGCCAGAGTGGCTGGCGCCGTCCTCCTGCCACCGTGGCACTCGCGAACCGACGTGGCAGGAAGAGGGCGCCAGCCATGCTGGCGCCGCCCCCCCCCCAACCCCTCGCCTCCATCCCTGTTTCTCTGTATGTAGTTGCAACAGTGTCATTTTTGTTTTATTTTTTCGGATATTTTTTCACACTTAGGATCATGATACAACCAACCATAAAAAAAATATAAACTCGAACTACCACTTAGCTAAGTCTGAAAATAGCTAGCATACCACTTAGTCTACTTTGCACCTTCACTAAAATTAGACTATAACTCCTTTAGTAAAACCCTTTGCATAACTCCTTTAGTAATATCCTTTGATCAGCATGTTACACATAATGCACTCTATCACTATATGAAATTACTTAATCTAATTCAAAATATAGCCAAATGAAATGATAGCCATAAGTTAAACAGTACAAAAAGATACAATTTTTTTTATTTTTATTTCATTTATTTGATATTTTTTCACACTTAGGAGAACATAGGAACCAACCATATAAAAAATAAACTCAAATGGACAAAATATGTGACTTGTAGAATTTTCCAAAACTCTACCGGAACAGACAAAATATGTCATTTATTAAAATAGGCGTAACTTTCTCATATGGACTCGGAATCAGGCAAATAATATATTCACGGACATCTACAGAAAAAGTTACATCCGATTCTCCATGGCTTCGCCGGGTTTGGCGATATTAAAACCTCTGAATTCCGCTTGCAAGATTGTGTTTTTGAGGAGAGAAGTTTTTCGGTAAAGCTTTCGAAAATTCCACAGGCCACATATTTCGTCCGTTTAAGTTTATTTTTTATATGGTTGGTTCTTGTGAGTTTCTAAGTGTGAAAAAAATATCAAAAAAATAATAATAAAAAAATTTGCACATCTCTCTCCTCTGTACTAGTTCGGAGAGAGATGAGAGGAGAAAAAAAATTCTACAAGTCACATATTATGTCCATTTGAGTTCATTTTTTCTATGGTTGGTTCTTATGTGTCCCTAAGCGTGAAAAAAAAATAAAAGAAAAATAAAAAAAATTCGGGGGGGAGGGGCGCCAGCCACTATGGCGTGCTCCCCCTAGCCACCTCAGCATCGCCCCGCCACGTCGGCAGGGGGACGGCTGGCGCCGTCTAGTTGGACGACGGCGCCAGCCACTCTGGCGCCCCAAAAAGGATCATTTCTGGGATAAGTTTTTCCAGGGATCTATTTGCGAAATAAGTTTTTTCAAAGGACCAAAAAGTGAAAAATCCAGAAATTCAGAAACTATTTTAAAAGCTTGACTACGATGGATGATCCCAAGAGCTTGTAGCACGCCATAATTTCATAAGCAAAGGATAATGATCACGAATGAATATACGTATAATTGACAACTAAAAATTCCCGGCCCATGTATATCTTTTGAAAACTTCCACTAAATCAATCTACACCATTACCTCTTTTTAGAGAAACATCCCAGACGCGAGAAAAACACTGCTCACAGAAATAGTGAGCATTATCCTATAATTACGTCGCTGCCCACACTCCCAGAAATTCCAAATGCCCCCATTTTCTTCGGTTCCATCGCTTCGCCTCCTCCTCTTTTTCTTTTTCTTTTTTTTTTCTCTCGCCCATCCATCGTCTCCTTTTTCCTCGCTTTCTCCCCCGCCACGAAAGGAACCAACCCTCCTCCGCAGCCCAACAAAGCGCCCGCGGCGGTCGCTCGCGGATCAACGCGGTTCACACGCACGCAGGGCTAACATGGCGGGGGAGACGGATTCCACGCCGATGGCCGCGGGGCGCGCCGTGCCGCCGCCGCCGGAGGCCGCCGCCCCGCGGCTCCTCCTCCTCGGCGGCGGCGCCGAGCTCTGGCGGCCCGTCGCCCGCGGCGGCGGGTGGGCCACCGCCGCGGCGCTCCTCCTGCTCCTCGCCTCCCACCTCTCCGTCCTCCTCCTCCGCCGCCTCCGCCTCCGCCGCCGCCTCCGACCTGCTGACGCCGTCTCCTCCTCCTCCGCCGCCGCCGCCGCCGTCGTCACCGCGGACTCCGCCCCAGGCTCCGCCGCAGGGTTTGGTCCCCTCCGCTCCTTGGCCCTCTCGCGCGGGGTTTTTTTTTTTTGAGCGAGAATGTGATTTGATCAGGGTTTGCTCCGTGGGGGTGTGGATTTCGCAGGATGGATGGCCTTGTGACGGAGGGCGATCTGCGGGAGCTGGTGGGCAACCTCGGGGTGGCCGCGCGTGAGCCGGAGAGGGAGGGGTGGCAGCAGGTGGTCGCCAAAGGGAACGATGACGTCTCCTACAGGGTGTGGTGCGACAAGCCCATGGTAGCTCTATCTCCTCCTGTTCTTGTTGAATCCATTGATCTTGTTTTATATTGTTGCGGGTCACTGGAAATGTTTTATTGTTTTATATTGTTGCTGGCCAATGGAAATGTTCTAATGATCTGCTTCTTATCGTAAGGCGGATTGTGAATTTACTCTGCCTACTTGTGTCCATGCGATTTACTAGCTGCGAAAGGCCACAACTAATGCTTACTGTATGGGTAGTTCATACTTCATAGTGCAAGAGTACAAGTCGATCGAGAAAATTAAGATTGTAGGTATTAGAATAATTCAACCCCATCCACCCTGCCTTAATGCTTTAAAAGTGGATGCGTAGTTGTAGGGTGTCATTTGATATCACTGTTTGGAGCTAATTTTGGTATCACCTTCTCAATATCCCTTGGTCTATTCCCCTAATGGGCTTAAATTTTTATGGGACGGTGGGAGCATGCCAACTCTGTGGGTGAGATCTTAGAACCACACTAGAATTATTGATATTGGTTTATGTGTGCTCTAGGTACTTGATCATGATTTTTTTGGTTAAGAATTGACAAAAGAAACTAAAGCTATTTAGGCTCTGTTTGCAAGAACATGTTCCCAACCCAAACAGTAAAAACGGAACACGGAGCGGTCCATTAGCACGTGATTAATTAAGTATTTGTTAATTTTTTTGTTCAAAAATGGATCAATATGATTTTTGAAGCAACTTTCGTATAGAATTTTTTTGTAAAAAACACACTGTTTATCAGTTTGAAAAGCGTGCGCGTGGAAAACGTAAGTATGGAGTTGGGAACCAGCTTTTGCAAACAAAGCCTTAATACTTTAGAATTCAAAATAGTTGGGGGATTAATTACTGATCAGCTGATGCAGTCTACGTGAAGTTACCTAGGGTTTAGGAATTTTCGCTGGGTTCTGCCATGATTGGATTTTGATGCCTGGTTTCATTTTGTGATGCTATTTCCATGATGTCCTTTGACCCATTACATTTTTGGGAACATCACAATTCCCAAGATTCTATTTGCTTGCTCAAGTTTAACAATTCAGTTTCTTTATGTAACAGTTATATTCCCCTATGCAGGAAGGCCCTCCTAGATATCTTAGTGTGACAACATATGAGAGATGCTCAACAGAGCTATTGAGGGACTTTTACATGGATAATGAGTATAGAATGGAGTGGGATAACACTGTGATAAAGCATGAGCAGCTACAGTTTGATGAAAATAGTGGAATAGAGATAGGGCGTACAATCAAGAAGTTTCCGCTCTTAACACCAAGGGAGTACATATTGGCATGGCGAGTTTGGGAAGGAAATGACAAGTCTTTCTACTGTTTGGTGAAGGTTAGTCACATCTCTCTCTCCATCCTTTCTCGTCATTAAATTCTCAACTGTTTAAAAGCGATATTTTTTTTGCGAGGTAAAAGTGTGATATACTTTGGTGTCATTGTTTTGGCTTTTGTACTTATGCAGTAATGTAAACATTGTAGATTATTCGTTCAGTAATGTACTTATATAAGGTCTAAGCTTTCGGTAATGCTCATGGAGTCAGTTGCAGAAGAAACCAATGATGCCACAATTGTTGATTGTGTCCTAACTACATCTTCAATTCTAATATGAAATTCAAGTTGAATTGGTTTTGATCCTATGCTTGACATTTTTAAATGAACTAAGGACCTGTTTAGGATGTGGGAATTTCACCTATTGTGGGAAGTAAACTGCTCCCTGTAGAATTCCTGCATTCTGCATTGTAAACAAACAGCCTAAAACACCACTGATATAGCCGAGAATACACAAATTCTAGGGATAATGCACTGTACACGCCCAATTTGAGAAAATACAAAATCAGTTGAAATCTAATTGAATATACAACCTTAGAATGAACTCACCAATTTCACACGAGTATTTCATATGCAATTTTGATGACATTAACCTTATCCCCATTATCTTATTTTCTTTGACCACTCAGTCATTTTTTACAATTTGTTCTGTTGTTGCCAATTTGTTAACCTGGACAGGAATGTGAGCATCCTGTTGCACCAAGACAGCGGAAATTTGTTCGAGTGCAACTTTTGAGATCAGGATGGTGCATTAGGAAAAGTAAGTCAACTCTAATATTCATAGAAGGCCTTCTTTTTGCGGTCCTTATTGAGTTTAGAATGACCTATCTTGTTTCAGTGGTATGTATTGCGTCGATGTAATTTCTAAAAAATACGCATAGAATAACTTCAAATGATCTAATTGTTTGGTAATGCTTTACCAGCCTCTAGTATCTACAGTATATATTTTATACTTTAATATTTAGATTGAAATGCAGTTGGATGAATTTGTTAGCTGATAAGAATGAAAGGCTTGTAATTTTTGTTTCTGCATCCATGAGTTAATACACTAATAGTTCTGTTGTACTTGTTAACCAAACAGAATGGGAAGAGTTCTACTGAAGCTATAAGCAGGCTGTGTATCAACTGAAAATAAAACAAATATTCTTTTAAGTGTTTATTTTTGAAGAATAAATACCATTGTCACACATTTCTTCTCCTTGCCATCAATTTTCTTTATGACCTTGAATATGCAACTGAAAGTTGAGCCATTATGACATGCCATTTTTGCTAGCTTATCTCGACTCTCAATTTTCTTTGTTATAATTATGATCAAAAGGCATCTATAAATTGTTATTTTCTGGGGATGTATCTCATATATGTTCAACTACTTTTAAATTTGATGTTGCTTATATGCTTTATGTTACTTTACAGTCCCTGGAAGGGATGCATGCCGAATTACAGTGCTGCATCATGAAGACAACGGCATGAACATAGAGATGGCAAAACTGGCATTTGCCAAGGGCATTTGGAATTACATTTGTAAAATGAACAGTGCACTACGTCGCTATCCTCAACGTAACATTTCATCAATATCAATTCTGACCATGCAAAGACTTACCAAGAAGGTAAATAGTCTTGACCTATTGACCAATCTGTGGTTGATATTTCTTTAGGAATTGGTCTATTTATGTTCCTATAAGCATGAATCTGTTTTTGTTAAAAATCATATGTACAGTGTGTGTCCAGTTTATTTTATTTGTTTTATGTATACAATCTTTTAGGTTTGAGGATAATGATTATATTTTTTGAATTTAGAATATATGTTATAGCCAGTCGAGATCATAAATTCATACAATAATTTATGTGCTTATGTTGTATGCTAGCCTGCTGAAGCCTACCATGTCTTGTAGATTGTCTGTCCTTTACTTTTGTTCACAAATTACAGCTACTGAAATAGGCAATGATAATCTTTCTGGAGATAGAATCTGTTTTTTAAAGTTTGAATTATGTAGTATGTACCCCCCACAAACCTGTGAACGGTTTACTGTCCTATTATTTCGAATTATGGCCATTTTATGGTTCATGCTCTGATGACGCTTGTTTTTGCACATCAGTTTCCTCAGGCCTTGGAGACTGATGTAGATGCAAATCATCATCCTCAAGGAAATACAAGAGCAAATGTTGTTCCTACACATTTTGCAAGAACTTCATCACGCCAACAGCCAGGGAAGAAGTCATCTCGGGCAACGATTGCAAGTGGACTTCTGCTTATCGGAAGCATTGTTTGTCTATCCCGAGGCCGATCTAACCTTGGGGCCCAGCTTGCAATGGCATTCTTCTTGAAGAAGGCGTTCAAACAAGATAAAGGATCGAGCTCGCAGAGGAGCATAAGTAGAACTGATGTGACTGAACCCAGGCACTTGGAATAGTATTGGTTAACCTTGGAGACGTTTTACCTTGACCTTTTCTTCCTCTTTCTTGAGAAAAAGTGGGAATATCGTTTGCTTGATAAGGCATATCTGTACACAGCATGACGGATTATGTAAATAATAGGTTTGTAGTTGTCTGTGTTTGCCAATGAGTACTTCTGTGGAGTACTACATCGTCTCACTGTAGAAATCGGGTACCTGAGAATATTAATGTATGAAAGTTAATTTTGGAGCAAAAGAGTTCTGATTGAAGAAGGTGACTGCAAGATATGTTTGGATGGAATGCTGCAAGGATTGTTATAGACATTTCCAAAACTGTACCCCTCATCTCAAGGTAAACCGTAGCCTCAGGCTGGGTCCGCTGGGATGCAATTTACTTTCCGATTTACCGCATGATACCGACCCCAGCGGTAGGCGGTTTTTGTATTTCGAACAAGTTCGGTCCAATTTATTAAGTTGGGATTTATACTAGACAACTGACGGCTAACAAAAAAAATTCAGCCGACTGTCAGCTAGTCAGTCCCTATTAAGTTTATGAAAAAACCTTTTGAAAATTTGATCGAAACCTGCTTTCGCCTACGTTGAAACCTTAAAATTTGGCGGTTTTGGACGGCCGTCGGAAACATGAACAAACCAGGTGCCGCTCTCGTGCTGCAGGCAGAGTGGCGGGTACTGGTGCCCATTGGAATAATTGAAAATTGAAAACTGAAATTATAAAAAAATATATTTTTTTTCAATGTCAAGCATAAGGTAGTATATTAATGTATTTTATCTGCCGGATCTATGAGGAAAAAATGAATTAGTCATGCAAGAGGTTTGAATCAAATATAGTATTAATTTTGAAACCACTTTTCGATCTGATTAGGAAAGCAAAACCGCCTGCTCGCTGCACTTCTGTACTTGTATGTGTCGACTTTGGTAGCATTGTTTATCAATTTGAGTAAGGATGATCTGCAATGAAGGGGCAACTATCTACGAACTACGGGACACACACAATCAACAACTTCTGTGATTGATCAATTACACTCATGTGAGCTTCGGTGGATCTTCAAACTCATCCTCGGTTCCACTGTGTGTCCATTGGTAGCTATCCATGATTATGTGGTCTAGCATTAATTATCTCTCAAGTCTGCCACCTCTTGCTTGTTGTAGTATCCTCGTGTTCTAATGTAGTGCAGTAACAAGCTATGTGTAGTTTTAACCCTGAGGTCCCGTGTTTAATCCTAACACGCTCACAATTTTTTTAATTTTTTCTTAAAAGAATGTTTGAAGACACGTATCTCCCTCCAAACAGTGGCGAGGCCACATGGGTTCACCACAGGGGGTGCCGGGGAGGGCCTGGCACCCCTCATCCTCTGATCCTCCCCCCTCCTCCCCCCTCCCTTCCCTAGATAAATAATTAATAGATGCAAGAGTATATATCGGTAGCTAGCAACTCACTAACTGCGAGTATGGATATGTGTAGCTGAATGCGTATGCATAGCTCTAGCTGGGAGCATCGATCAGCAACTCACTAAAACTCCCGCAAGCAGCTGGGTGAAGCTTTTGATGTGATGCGACAAATTAACAGGATGGAGTCTTCAAATTAAAGAAGTAATTGAGATGTTTTGTAGTGCATCAAATCTCAGTGCTAGACTGCTAGTATAGAACTACTTTCTCCGTTTCACAATGTAAGTCATTCTATCATTTCCCATATTCATATTTATGGTAATGAATCTAGATAGATATATATGTCTAGATTCATTAACATCAATATGAATGTGGGAATGCTAGAATGACTTACATTGTGAAACGGAGGGAGTACATAAATTGTGTTTAACTCTCTCTTGCATGATTCAATTATGTAATTCTTAGGTTGCATTCGATTCAGCGATTGGAAGTATATTTCTAACGGCAGCATATGATTAATTAGGTATTAATTATTAGAAACTTATAAAATATATTAAGAAACTTATATAAAAAACTTTCCTACAAACAATTTATTTAACCGTTTAGGTAGTACCTCATGAAAAACCGAGAAGTTGTCCAAAACAACTCAGCCTTACTAAAGAAGTGGATGGATGGAGATAAACCGCCTAGACGTCCACACAAGATTGATTGCAAGGACACCATTCTGTAGGGGGGTGAAAACTGATCATGCATACAACACGTTGTTCACCAAGCAGCCAATAAGCTTTCTTTTGGATACATTGACCTTATGGTTGGCCCCCCTAATACCTAAATCCTGGCTTCGCCGCTGCCTCCAAATCTCCTTTTTTTTAAAGTATCCTCGTGATCTGAAAGAGAGACTGTCATGTAAACGTGGTAGATGCCGATCATTCCCAAAGCTGCCTCACAATCCCACTCCTATGCATTGCACATACGACCTACGGGCATCCAGTGCCACACCTATCTTATGTGGAAATACACACCAACAAACAAATGTAAGCATTGGGTAAATACTTGATAGCCCTACATCATTATCTATCAAACCGAGAAAGGCATGTACCTCACATTAGAGAATGTCACAATGCTGTTCTCCTTCACTCTACTAAAACTTGAGTTCTTTTGACTCTCCAGCACCTCCACGGCTCCACATTATTCTTGGCTTATAACTAGAGGTTGCTGCTCTCCTCATCACCCAGGTAATTTACAATGGAGAAACATTGGCATGCATAGGAATTGGAACTCTTGCAGCAGAGAAGGTGAAGCCACATGGTTTTGCCTTTATGGCAGCAGAGTACTCCTACGTTTCTTTGTGCTGTGCTAGCATGTGCCTTGGTGAGGATCGAGATCTACGACTGCATGTTTAGCAGTTGCAGTGCAGCCGATGGATAAAAAACTGACGGCTCAGATGGTAAGAAAGTATTGTTCATAAAATACTGTGGCAAACTTACACTGTAGCGGTTACTGTAGCATCGATGGTGCAACGGGATGGTAGAGCGAATCCGAGCTGTTGGGTCCATCGATCCAACGGTTATAATGTGCTCCGACTGCCAAGGTTGCAGTTGTTACTACTACAGCACCGGATCTCAATTCGTCAGTAGATGTTGAAATCAAGTAAATATGGCTTCCATGTGTGTTTCTAAAATATAAACCATCCGTATATATCAATTAAAATATATTAAGTTTTATACCTTTGATTCATGGATATATACACTTTATTGCTACTTTCAACTTTATCAAGTTTTGATATGACTAGGTTTTGGTAGGGAAACAAACTAAATATAATGTTATCATTGTCACCCTAACAAAGATTGGCAATTCCGGAAGTTCTCTCACAAAAACTCAACCAAAATTTGATAAGGTTTCAAATAAACACAACCGATAGTATAAAAATCCGGTAACGTCAAAACGTGTCAAAATTTGGCATCATCAAAATTTGGTAAAGTTGATTTTGACTATAAAATGAACAATCCCTATGTTTCTACAAGATTTCTGAGCTGGCGAATGAATCAACCAAAGATAATTTATGGGCAAGTTTTTATATCTATGTTTAGAGCTTTAAAAGTAAACGCCGAAAGATACAATACGATGAGAGAACCTATAAATTAACTTTAATTTAAAACCACAAATTTAACTTAAAATTAAATTCAAGTTCTAAAATTTAATTTTTCATGTGGTTGATAAGCTAACCAGAAAACAATGAGAGATATAGGCCCGGCTCAATTGTACTTAATTTCACTGTTGTGCGGCCAACACAAATAGTGTATTGTGTCTGCAACTGTACTGAACCGCCGAACAAACCCATAGTGTTAGTAGGATCAATCTTTTAATTAGGCGTTGTCAGTATAGTTGGAGAGCACAAGTGATTTCTTCCCAATGAGCATGCAAGAAATTGGAGCTAGCAAGCAGGGCCGGTCCTGAGTTTTTAAGGTCCCGATGCGAAACTAAATGTAGAGGTTGTTAACGTATATATATGAGTTATTGCCATAAACGTTTAAATTGCATTCAGAAATAGAATTTTTATAGAAAACATTGTACATATTACCTTAAAATTATATTTGCTTGACGTTCACGTGTTACCTCTTAAAAATTTGTCCAATGCTCCTTTCTAGGCTTTTATTAAACCATCCACTCTTTTTCGTTTTTCCCCTTTTCTCGCTATCCGATGCATACTTTATCGACAATATGGCCTAATGATTGAAAAAATTAACATAACTACAGTGTTTTAACTCGTATAAAGTATGCTAGAAAATTACAAATCTAGATTTAGTATATCTTACCAAGTAGTTGATTGCAAGTATCCGAGTGCGCAGCGCACGACCAGTCCGCAAGTGCGTCGGGACACACACTGCCATTGTTGGTTCATCCAACACTCGTCCAATTGAATTAGCAACAGGCAACAAATAACAGATTACAATTTACACATGGAATCATAGTTACAATTTTTCATATGGCAATGGTGTTGTTGCTGCTCACTAGACCAGTAAAGTGAATCAGTGATCGTCGCAGTGATTTAGGCCGTGCTTAGATTTAAACTTTTTTCTTTAAACTTTTAACTTTTTCATCACATTAAATATTTGGACACATACATGAAACACTAAATATGGACGAAAAAAATCAATTGCACAGTTTGTATGTAAATTGCGAGACGAATCTTTTGAGCCTAATTACGCTATGATTTAACAATGTGGTGCTACAGTAGACATTTGCTAATGATAGATTAATTAGGCTTAATAGATTCGTCTCACAATTTTCAGGTGGAATCTGTAATTTGTTTTGTTATTAGTTTACGTTTGATACTTCAAATATGTATCCGTATACTTAAAAAAAATTTTGGCACACAAACTAAACACAACCTCAGCAAATTAGCAACAGCAAGACATCAATGAGGCATGAGAAGAAGTGTAGAACACGGCAACGGCAAGAAACCTGCGCGGCTCGGCGGCTGCGTCTCTGGCGCCTCGCATGGGCGTCGCGCGGCGGAAGCGGAAGTGCGCGGAAACGGCCAGCGGACGGCGGCCTTGGACGAGATGGCTGAGGTGTTGCGACGGTGCTACTGCCAGCGGCCGCGATCTTGCGTTCGCGACTTCGCGTCAGGACGTGAGCGGCGGTTCGGCGTGATCGCGCGCGTCGATGCCGTCGGGATTCTCAGGAACTCGGAGCGTCTCCAGCAACTCATCCAAATTCGATCCTGCATATTCCTATATGGATGGTCATCCAAAAAGATTCATCTTCCATATCTCTTCTCACTCCAGCAGATCATCCAAATTGCATCCTCCATATCACATTCTTCTATATTTTATAATATCTTCCAACTAACTTTACATTTGTATTTGAAGGGATATATTTTGAATAACT